TAAAAAATAAACACATTTGAAAAGTGGGGGGGACACAAACGGGATTTTGAAAAGTGGGGGGGACATGTCCCCCCTGTCCCCAGTGGAAATTACGCCCATGTATGCATGTATGTTTTTGAATAGACATTATGTGCATGCAACTGAGCATTTGTTTCTGCAGGACTGACCAAAGCCATGTAGATAAATGTGTGCATGTACATACTCATGTGTATGTCTGTTCTGTTCCTCTACACCGAGTATTTCAGCTGTGCCTTGCTAGGACTAATGAATAATTTCTGCACTCTGCTCTGCTGTGGCACGTCTGGTGCAGCCTGACTGCACCACACAGCTACAGCTCTGCATCACACAGCTACACCAGAGTAAACTGAATTCTATTCAATTGTTTCAAAACACACACACACACACACACACACACACACACACACACACACACACACACACACACACACACACACACACACACACACACACACACACACACACACACACACACACACACACACACACACACACACACACACACACACACACACACACACACACACACACACACACACACACACACACACACACACACACACACACACACACACACACACACACACACACACACACACACACACACACACACACACACACACACACACACACACACACACACACACCTTGTGTGGAGGGATGCAACAAGCTGCTGCTAAGACAGCCGTTTCCTTTGGTCAATGTCATCTCAATTCTTCTTCCCCGGTTACATCTGGGAAATATTCTCCCTGTGATTCATACAAATGAGACCAATACAAAGCCAAGCAAGAAATATTAAACTTATAACCCACATAAAGCTTGTTCTTGATTTATTAAAAAAAAAACTCTTGTGTGAATAGGGGGCATTTCAGTTCAAGCTCAGAAAAAGGAGAAGTGGTTCTGAAATGTCAGCTCTCGTTCTGGAGCGGCAGGCATGCTGATGTGGTGACCTCTATGTGCCATGGTTAAAGGTTGGGTGGGCTGAAGGACAAATGAGGAGAAGGTATCGGCTTTTCTGAGTGAAAGAAAGGGACATTTTAAAGATCACTGCCAAGCCTTTCAGTACTGAAACACTGAGTTAGTCAAGAATCAATCACTTTCATGTTATTCATTTGATACCTTAAGGTAGTGTTGTGAAGCCTGTTCTTTTATTTGAAGGTTCAACTACACTTGATCGCTAGGAGATTACTAGAGAGGTGTTTCCTTGTCAAATGTGTTTTGAAACTTCAACAAAAAGAACATCCATCCTACATTTATCAGAAGTACAGCAGGTTGTGCATCTGTGAGCAGCCTAATAAAGTGAAACCACACAAGCAGCAGTGCCAGAGAAATCTGCAAACAAACACCTCCTACTGTCTCTGGGTCTTCTGGAGGACCTCCAGCGCTCTGCTCATTCATCTGCCCTAGGCGAGCGTGTATTTTCAGACATGATATGCCTCTCAATGCATTTCACCGTAGATGAGCAAATCATGTCATCATCTATCTATGTCAACAGTGGATAGTGCATGCCTTGCTGTAAAACCAGGCATTTTCCGATCTTAAACATACATTTTCAGCTTAGGAAATGCATTTTTAATAAGTTGCAAATATTTTCACTGTAGTGTACTACAAGAGCCAAGAAAAAAAGGCTAGAGCTTGTTTAATACTAAATTATAGCCTCTTGTTATGCATATAATACAGTCTGTCTACACTGGCCCTATGTCCAACAGGTAAGACAGCATCAGTAACACAGCTTTTGAGCAGAAATACCATATTTATTGCAAAATGTTTTCCTCAGTTCCTATTTGCATAGACCTTTGCTGCTGCTCAGGCACCCTGGGGTGACTGTCTGGACTGTCAGCCCATACTGCCAGGCTACCACATTTGAATATATTATAAACACAGCATGCACACTGGGTCAGAACTCCTTTCATCTTAAAAAATATTTAAGTGATGCCACAATAACCCACCTTTTAATTATGTTATTTAAAGACTAAGGTAAACCACAGTGTCACCGTCAACCTGTGAACTCAGATACTACAGTAAGTTGCATAATGTAAGTTTAACATGGCACTTGGTGTTGTCAACTTCTTTAAGACGGAGACTGCAGAAAAGACAATAGCTGTCAGTGAGCGATGCGCAAAACAATGGAGCACTATCACCGCCTCTAACATCTGCAAGAAAGCAGGGGGTTATCAAAGGCTACGGGATACATTCACATCTGGGAGGAAAGCCAAGTGGCAGGCAATACACTGTTATAACCCCACACGCACCATGAAATAGAGCTACACATATTTCCACAGTCGCCAGAGCAGCGCTTCAAGTACAAGCGGAAGGAAATGTACTTACAGTTCTGAGGAACTGAATCTCATCCTCTCCTTCTCCACCTTCAGCCATGGCTGCAAAGGAGCCTGTTCAGACTCGGGAAGCCTCCGCTGGCTCCTCTTCCCTATCGATATTAGCATATAGCTAATCCACGGCCATACAGCGGAGAGACTACCGCAGCATGTGTCACTCAAGCCCCTGTGCTCAAGCCCCGCACACCGCCCGGAGGAGGAGTGTGTGTCAGAGCATCGGTGGAGCGACTGGGGACGGTGTGGCGGGGAGACAGCGAGGAGCCGAGTCGTGTAGCCGAGAAACAGCAGCGGGGTCTTTATCTCTGACGTCACCGTCCTTATGAATACAACCCGTGAAAGCGCGAATATTCAAACATCAGAGCATTAAACGCGATGCAATATCGAACAGGTATTTCGTCCGCGGTTGTTTTTCCTGCACTAACCCCGAGCTACGCAGTAATAAATAATGCCAATTAGTGAAAATGTATCGAAATGTGAGTGTACAGTGTGCAGGACATTCATGGTAACTGCTGTTTCCAGTGCTGGTCCAAATCAGCACCATGGTCAGCACCCAGCACACAGACATGCCTCTACTGATAACACAGTCAATATAGTGGGTGATTTAGCAATAGTGTACACATATTTCCACACAGAAAATGTTTTGTTACCACTGCTGAAGGGAAAAAGGCAGACCTAAAGCATAGCAAATATCATCCAATATAGACACACATTTCTACAATATAAATGTTAACATAAAATATAATCTGCACAAGGTGTATGATGTAGCTATTTATTATTATTATTATTATTATTATTATTATTATTATTATTATTATTATTATGTTTTTTTCCAATTAATTAAGTGAACGGAAAAAATGGTTATTTCTGCGTAAACCTGAGTTTCCCTTCATTTCATAAATAGAGCAGCTGTCAAAGACAGTACAGCCGGCAAAACTGACATTTAAATGTTCACATGATAAACTATTTAAAACATTATCATTGGATGAAGGTCATTGAATTATTTAACATGAAATGTATGAATAAAAAATGCAATGTAAGTTATTTTAACTCTTTCTGTGGACTGAATACACGCAGTGACAACAGTTATCAGCTGGTCTTTGGTGTCTCACTGGTCAATGAGTTGACCCTCAGCCCAGCCATAATGAAGCCTACTCATCTCTCCAACTAAATTAAACAAACATTTACTCCCTAATCATAATGCAATGGCGCCCTCTGGTGTCAACATGGTGACAAAACACATGCTTTCCTAATTGTGCAGGTTTCCTTCTTTCATTTCCTCAATTTGGTATCAATATCCTAACCTTCTCCCCTCTATCCATACACCCACAGTTAAATCATGTGTTATTCCTCTTTTAATGATTAGACATCATCATTCTCCAATCCTGTGTCTAATTGACAGACCTTTAAACAACCAGGGTAATGATAACATGCACATTTCAGTAGCCTAATTATTCACTGAAAGTACTTTATTCAACTCATTGATGTTTAAACCTACTTTCTTGCTTTTGGCCTATATGGGAAATAAGTGGACTACAATATTCCATTAAATAATCTTCTTTAAATAAACACCAATTTGACCATCTGCACAGATTACTGTGACTCTGTTACAATTATACCCATCCCCTAAAAACAATGAAAGGTAGGACATTTGGGATCTTAGGCGAAAGGTACACGAAATAGCAACTTAAAGGTTACACAAATAACATAGTAAATATATATATATAAAACAATAGTAAAAGTTATTTGAATGATAATGGAATAAATATTGTGTTGAATAATAATAAAACGTTATTCTGTAAATCCAATTCCACCTAAAATATAATATTACAAGTCTTAACACAGTATCCTATAACAACCTACAATCATATGCTAAACTGTATTAATCAAAATTAAAATTAAAAAAATGTAATGAGAGGGCCTATAAAGTGAGGTAACAAAAGCAATTCAACAACCCAACAAAACTTTTTCACCATATACAGTATATCGTATATTCGTGTATAGACTATATGTTGGTATAAATGTCTATGTATTTTTCCTGATTCCTTGTTCCATATGTATATGGCTCTGGTTTGTTCTGTCTGTAGCCAACTCGGTTACTCAGTGAATGCAACATTATGTAAATAAGGGCATAATTTAATATGATAGAAATTATTAATTTATGTACGTTTTTAAGATGATAAGCCCCATGGAATAAAAACAACACTGGACTCAGAACATAACGTCCTTGGCAGAGATGAACACTGTATTATTTAAGAAAACCCTCTTACGAATTGAAACGGTGTATGGCAGCGATACACTAGATGACCACAAGGTGTCTCTGTTTAGTAAGAAATGGCAGCACCTCGGGCCTTTATAGAGCAGGTACTTTCACGCACACTTACCTCTCTGCATGAGTAACTATGCAAATGTTAGCCCCGGAAATACTGGAAACTGCTACGACTGTTGAATAAATTAACGTCAGCCAAACTTTGTTCCCTATTTGTACGATTTCCTGACTTAAAACGATCACATGGCCTACCTGCGAGCTGCAGCTGCACTGACTCAAAATGTGGGATGTGACAAACACTAAGGAACCAATCAAATAGCGTTGAGCCGGCGCTGAGTTTATCTATTGGACCAAACTCCTGTCAATCACCACAAACGAGCCCTGTGAAGCAGCGGTGAGCACTGGCTGGCTGCAGTACAGAGATGTGAAGAAATATTTCCCATGCCACTAAATCGGGTAAGTAACTGTTTATATTTTTACGAAGTGCAGCTGCTCTTCTACCTGCTGCAGGTGCAATCGACTGTGACGTACTTTCACCTTCTAATTGAATATACGACATTGAAGTGAAACTGATATGATGCTAATACCGAGATGTGGACTACATTTTAATTCAGAATAAATAAAAGAGAGCATTTCCTGATTTTTAGTTGCAGTGGACAGCATTACACCCGTGGGATAGTGTACAATATGCTGCCATCTTTACACAACTGCACTCGGGCTCTTTGCAAGGTGACAGTAACCCACGGGATTATGTTATGATGTAAACAGTTCAGAGATGTTGCCAAGTGTTGGAATCCATTGAAGCACATGTAAATAGCTGTGCCTGTTTTGCTTGTAAACATCTCAAACGGCAGCCCTGCCATCGGGCTTTGCATGTGTCGTCACCTTGTGGGACACTCAGGTTTTATGCGGCAGCAGCAGCTTGTGAAATGTTGATGAAATGCGGTTTAAAAATGTTTCATCTACGTAATGCCCAAGAGCAGGATGAAGATAAGATATAGTGATAGTAAACAATCATATTTGTATAGTATTTATAGTATTTGATTTTATTAAGTTCTTAATTAACTAATGGGTTTGACAGTGAAATATGAAGGGCCCATTGTAGGTAGAGGAGCCGTTTGTATTGTTATGCTTGCAAACTAACTCTGCATCAGCATAAAAATAGTCTGTAGAGCCCTAGCTGTGTCGTATTCTTTGTTGATTACATTTTTTTTAAAGCATGAACTTTACAATATGTTAACAGTCTGGCCTCAGAGTGGATTGAGTGTATTTGATTTTGTCTAAATTTACATTATTTAATTTCATATTCTTTTCTTTTACATATCATATTCTATTTACATGTATATAGACTTTTTGCACTACTTTTTATTTTGTATTTTTGTATTTCATTATATATGTTGCATTGTTGGAGGAGCTCAGATCAGAAGAATTTCATTGCCATTTCTACACTGTAGCTTTGTGCATATGACAATAAAACCTTTTGAATTGAAGTCACTGTACAGTAAGTAGACTTACTTGTTGTTGGACATATCTACTGATCAGTAACCTATGTGCTACTTTCTCTCTGACAGTGTCTGGACAGGCCAGGTGATGAATAGCCAGAGATCCTGCCCTGCAATCTGCGCCCGGTCACTGTGTCAGGGGGGCTGACTACTTACTCACAGTGCCCCAGTGATCATAACATGGCACCCATCATGGAGGGCACACACACTGTGTTGCTGCTTTATGCACCCATCCATGAACTAAGCAACATCAGCCTGTATGTTCCCAAGAGGCTGGCCCCTAACTTCAAGTACAAGAGCCGCGCCTCTCATTCAGGAAGGGCCTGTAATGACCATGACCGGGCTAAGGAGGATCTCGCAGTGTCCGAACAAAGAGGCCAGTCTTTCAGCTCCTCAGGCGAACTCCTCATCTGCCAGCAGGCTACAAAGGAGGCGGTTGCAGAGCTCTGCTGGCTGGCGGCAGAGCACCATCAGTTGCTGGCAGATCTCTTATCGCTGTGTAGGGATTGTGCCGTCAAAGTCAGAATGGGTAACCAGGATGGGAAACTCCAGGATTACATGGAGGGTCAGGAAGTTAACCTCGGCAACAGCAACTACTCTCTGACCGTGTCTCCAGAGCACAAGAGAGCCACATCCAAGAGCAAAAAGATGAAGAAGTTGGGAGGCAAGAAGCTTGACCCCACAGAGGGTTTCCAACACAACAAGATGAAGAAGAAAGTTTCAAGTGGAAGTTCATCCAAACAGCTTGGTGCTCGCAAAAGTGGGTCCATATCTTCAACCTCAGTGATGCAGCAGATCCCAGGTACCCCGACCTCGAGCCATGTCACTGACAGCCCAGTCACCGGCTCTTATGTCAGTGCGGTGAGTAACCCCATCCTGCCCATGGAGGAACCCTTCCAGATTGCTCGTGAGGTTTGGGACTTTATGGAAGACAACCGGACATATGAGCCCGACATTGATTTCTGCAATGACTTCTCCGAGTATGACGGTGAGCTGGGTTATGAGTCGTCCTTCTGCAGCCTGATGGAGGGTCTGACCCGGCGGGAAAGCGGCAGCAACCTCAGACCAATAAGAGGGTCCGATTCCTCGGGTGAGCCATTATCTGAGAATTCACTGACAGTCAAGTTCCCTCAGCAGCTGTATGGCGAAAGCAACCAGAGTAACGCTGGGCCGAGGGTTGTCACCAAAGTGCAGGATGTGGAAGGGAGAGTGCAACATATCGACCATTCAAACCCAGATCCGGGGACTAGCAGCTGCCAGCAGGGGTTTGGAGAGTGGAAGGGACCAAACAGGGACCCCCTCCTGGGTCTCAATAGAGAAAAGATGGGTTACAAGCTTTCTGAGGGTCTACGGTTGCCCCTTTTCCATACCACTGAACCTCACCCACCAGCCAGATACCACAAAAAAAGCCCCTCTTCACCATCTCTCGCTGGGGTCTTCAACATGTCTTTTCCCGCCTCCAACAGTCTTCACAGCATGTCCCCAGTCCTGTCCCCTCGGTCCTCCAAGCAGGCAAGCCCACAGCTGAACCACCGCATTGTTATGCTCTCAGATAAAGATGAGGACCATGAACGAGCCAGCTCCAGCAACACAGAGGAGTCCAAATTCTTCACAGAGTCCATTGACAAGAACGGCAACAATCGAACCTTCACCCGACTGGATCTGAACCTCAGGCGGCGGCCTAGCAACTCCACGTGGACTTCCTCCAGCAACTCCACAACAACAACAACAGGTGAGCTATTAGAAATCACAACCATCCTACTTTGAACACACTGATTCATGTTTGAACTGCCTTGATGTAAATGCTGAAATAAGTGCTTTTATCATCTTAGTACCACGAAGCTTTTCTCAGTGTGCCCTTCATCTGGCATTGCTGTTGCTGGATTTCAAAAGACAGAAGTAGAAAGAGATGCATTGAAAGAGATTCAAAAGTGTGTGTGTCTGTGACAGCAATTACTTTGAAGCAGACGACAGTTTTACGCAAACAAAGGGAGTTCTACTTTGTCACTCTGGCGTGTTATCTAATAAACTAGGTAGTAAATAAGCATTTCCTGCCAAAATCTCCATGCTAGTCCTGGTATTTGTTGGCTGCTGTGTTCTCGACCTGGCTAGGGCTTGTGACCACATATTTAAAAACTACCCAGCAGAGTTGTACAAGGGCCTGAGAATACTCTCACTGATGCTACATGTTAACTCTCTCAGTGCCGCAAGGGAAGGCAGAGATAGTGAGAGTGTCCCAGATCAAAGGCTCAAATTTGACACATTGTTCGACCTGAACATGGTCCTCGTGCACTGTTAACTGAAGCATTGCCAATTTGGATTTTAAGAGATCTGCTGTCCCTCCCCTAAACCCACATCCTCTCCAGTTCACAGGAGACTGACAAAGGATCAGGGACCCAGCGGGCACAGGGGTTACAGAGAGAAGGATTAGAGTTTCCTTATTTGCAGAACTGCTTTCCTCTATTCATAATCTCAACCGTTGTATCTTATACTTGGTTAAAATGCCTTAAACACTCGATACAATATAATATTTGCAAAGCCATAATAAGGTCACAAGCCTATCTGGTTTCCTTAAATTCCCATCGGTCAATTTCCATAATTTCACAATGGCTGATCTGGCCTTTTTAAAACCAGTTTGTATTTAGTATAATTGCTCTTTCAGTGACATTTTGTTCTTTCTTCAGTAAAGGACATTTCTGTGTTAGCTTAAAGTGAATCCACCTTTTACTGGAATCAATCCAAGTTGATGCTGCTGCTGTTGGCCTGATGCTTTGAAGGAGGCTTTAGCATTATTGCATTACCTACGTCTGTAGCGTGGTTAGTCATCCCTTTTAGTCAGTGTAACACAATCTTTCATTTGCAGCAGCAAACAGATGGCCTCTCTTTGATTATGTGATTCACTAATAGACCATAGATAATAGTTGGACCTTTTCAGGATAGATGCATTTATCCCGTTTTCAAGACTTTGCTGAACTTGTAAGGAGTGTTTGTTTTCTTGCATCACAAACCATCACTAGCTCAAGCATTACAGCCAGAAATGCTCGACTCAGCAGGAGCGCAAGGGAGGAGAGCTGAGCTGTGTGGAGCTAAGCTGAGTGGTGGATAGGGGGATGGATAGCCCAGTTTTACTGTGGAGATCATTTGGACCGATTCCCACTGAGATGATGTCCCTATATTCCCCTCAGCTAGGAATTCACAAACGGCAACATTATCATTTTGGCACACGTACACATTCCACATTTTCTGGCATCAGTCCACACTTTTTTATTAAATTCAATGTTCTTGCAAAAGTGACATTAAGAGCACTGTTTCTTTTAATATCCTGAGCTGGGTTTGAGCAAACATCCCGAGTCATCATTAGATGTATCTGTGTGATATGATAACCCAATATATATCTATGTGAGACTACAACACAGTAAGGTGCACTTGCTTTTTGCTGCACCGTCTTCACAGTGAAGGCTTAAAGCTTTTAATCTGAAAAAAATATCCTTTTGTGGATTTTGCCGCATTTGAGCTGTTTACTAGATGGCCCTTTTGTTGCCTGATAATTGAACACGCTTCAGATGTTAACAGAGATAAATGAACATCACAAGACCTCAAGTGGGTCACTGTGAAGTCTGGCCCTTCCTGCTTTGCAAATAATGAACTAATTGTGATCCGGGCTCTTTAATCTATGCTTTCTTATTGAAGCTCAGCTCTTATTCATGAGTGTGGTTATCATGCAGATAGTAATGGTAATTATAAGGTAACAAATGATCTTGTTTGCTACATGTGCTAATGTTCTTGCACCGCAGTCTGTGAATAGCATTTACATTTACTGAGAGTGAATATAATATTGTTTCATGTTTTACACAATATCTATTTTATATATATCTCTTAGTTTTTCTTTAAGTTTGCATTTGTGTTGGTTGTTCTCTTATACTTCGTATGCTATCACCTTTTTGACATAAGCTCCATAAACAGGAGACATTTACTTAGATCTAAAAGATATATGGCATTATCATTTATTCTGGCCACCTGTTAAATGAAGTCCAATTGTTACTTCCCTTTTCAAATGTGTATAAGATCAAGTTTCTCATGGATTTATTTAGATCTTTATCACAAGCCATTGACTTGTTGTGTCTGCAGTCTGGTGCTTTAAAAGCTTTTACGTTGGCATGTGTCAGAGAGTAAGACTAAACCAAAGTGGTAAAGTTGTGTGCCATTAAAACCAAAACAATGCCCCTAAAGCAATATATCGATCTACAGCTGATGGAACTAATTTTTTTTTCATTGACCACTGTGATAACAAATATTGATAGCTCTTTCAAAACACCCCTTTCCAATATATTCTGCCATTAGTGTTTCTCTGAGTTTTTTTTCCTCGCTCACTCTTATCCCCCCCTTCTTCCTTTTCCTACTTATGTTATTGTCTGACATATGGCAGGCAATACCATAATCAGATCAGCCAATACGTTACGGCGAGGTCATATGAAACTGATCAGCGCAGAGCATGAGTGTATCACCCCACTCGGCCTGTCATTCAACACAAAGTGCCCTGCCATGCAACATTGTTCAGCCCAGTGAAGACAAGGGCCAGCTCTATTCACATAATGTAGTGGATTCTGAGCTTTTCTCCCAGTCTGTTTCACGCTGTTTCTCAGTGCTGCATACTATAGGCAGGCAAACGGGGCACAAAGGTCCTTCTCATACAGTATAACTTGTTTTCTTTAATAAATGACTGCTGCACTTGGAAAATGTTAGAATGTTCCATCTCGTGCTTTTCAGTATGATCAGCTTTAAAACAGGCTTCTCCTCAATGTCCCTCTATTTTGAACTGAATAAAACTTAACCAAGTTTCCTGTCTCCCAGTCAGTGCCCCGCCAGGCCCAATGAAAGCACTCTTTCCTCAGTTGTGTTTATCCCATCTGCGTCCAGAACTGTGACCATATTTTTACGCTACATTGCTGCTCTGGCCCTCAGCGCTTTAACACTCAACCCTGAGTTTCTACTCGTAGCTTCCTCTGGCATGGACCTCAGCACTGCCAGCTGAACCAGTCAGTCTATCAGCCAGCCCGACAAGCCTCATGAAAAAACAGCTATGTCAGGTGCAAAAGAAACGGGCTGATTTTATAAATCCTGCATTTTTCATGATTTATATGAAAGTCCATGATCCTTTTTCAAAGTGATGGAGAGGGGTGGAGGCTGCCAGATGCACTCAGTATGCCACATGGCCCACTTCTTTTACTTTGAAGGATGAGGTTACAGATTTTTAGTGGATAAAAAAAGGCAGACTGGGCAAAGCTGTTTGAGGTTCTGTAATAAGAATTAGACGGAGGAGACAGACTAGTGTTCATCTATGAACGATTTAGAGATATGCATATAAATAGTTATTTTTCTGGCTTAGGGCTACATGATATGAGGAAAATATCTGATACGGTTTTGAATATCATTAGAACAATATTAATTGCAATGTAAGTTTAGACAGTACTGCATTTCTTCTGCTTTCAGTATAAACACTAAATGCTAGAATATAAAAAATTGCTTGTTGAATTAAAAAAATAATTTGACAAAATACCAAGGGGGGGCCAAGCAATGGATTCTTTCAAGTAATAAAAAAAAGTGCAATATCCCAGTTGTCACAACGTGTGAATCGCGAAATTTGATGAGGTTGAGTTCATGCTGAGGCTTAAAAAACAATGTTTTGAAGCCCTAGTCTGGCATGCAGTAGTCCCTTCATTCATATGAAAGAAATGATCAAGTTCCCTTTGAGTGATTTCACGTCTGCTTTGTTTAGTTTGACACAGCCTCCTCTAAACTTCCTCTCACCCCTGGATGAGTGATTACCATCTGACAGAGTGAGAGGGGGATTAATGACCACCGACGACACCCGCCTGTCAGGATCAGGCATTAGATGGCCTCTGATCCGACGGAAGGACAGATACTTTATTGTTCAACTCATAATGCTTACAGTAGCACATAAACAGTGTGACAGCTTCTCAATAACACGCTGTGATATTTACTGACGTCTTACTGCACGGTGTGTCGGTCAACGCATGCAGGGACCATCTAAAGAAGCACCCGTTTGTGCTGCTTGTCCCTCTTAAAATATACTGACTAAAGGGCAGTGCATTATCTGTCAGATGGTATTTGACGAATTGCTGCAATCTCGGGTTGGGATGTTCCAGTTGGAATTAAATTACTTCTTTTTTTTCAGACCAAACTGACATGGACAATCCAATCTGCACCCTGCTTCCCCTCAGTTATAGACCCTGTGATTTACCCTCAGCTTTTAGAGCAGCAGGGAGGGAGATTAATGGCAATATGCGCACAGTTTTCCCCAGGGTCAGTGAACTCAGTGTGTCAGTTGCGTGTAAAAGTGCAGTGTCTTCATTAAGCATCCCAATCAAGCCTAATGCATCCAAGATTTTCTTCTCTGTATCTGTTTACCGTCTTTATATTGCAGCGTTGTGCATTAATTAACTATGTCGTATTTCTAACTAACAGCCTTGACATCAGAGCTTCACTGCAGTGTGTTTGACTACATAGACACACACATTTTCCTCTTTGTCCAGATGGTGGCAGTGTGGGCCACCTTACACTTTTAATTAAGTGTCTAACTGATTATTAAGCACTCATGCATAACGTGTTTAACTGTAAGGATTTGGGAATCATGAAAGGATATTGTGAACATATATGAATAGGTGTTATTTTCTAGATGTGATAGTTGAGGTAGAAGAGCGGTTTCTAATCATTAGTTTCTTTCCTTGGCTTGCACTGGGCTTAATTCTGCATTTGGAAGTGTCCCAACCTACAGTCAGCAGTTCCCACTGCGGGACCGCAGAGCGCAGCATTATCATAATGAAAAGTTATTAATCTAATCCTTTTTTTCCCTCTGCTGTCCAAGTCCTAGATAAGTGGAGGGACTGCAGGCACTGCTGTTGTTTCATAATGACTGATAGCTGATAGGGCTGAAGTACTGAAGCTGAATTTCAATGCTTCCAT